CATCAGTGCTTGGCAACACAGTTCTATTGAAAGATAAATATTGTGTAATGTCTCTACATAGCTTTATAAGTAAATCAATCAATTAACATAGCAATAAATTGGTTTCATTAGCATCTTTCAGGCATTAGGAGGTGCTTTACTAATTAAAAGTCCCACACATAAGCAAATGCTATTTCCAGTTTGTTGATGTAAATCTTATGAGGTACCGAAGTCATTCAGTGCCAAGTTGATAACACAAGCTGCCACTTCAGAGGATGCAATCCAGTACAAATCTGGCCCCTGGCCACAGCACTTTGGGACTCATCAGCAGAATGCTGCCATTTATCCCAGTAGAAGGCACAGATATGTACCCTGAGTGCTGGAAGAAGTGCCATCATCAACTCAGTTTTGAGAAATTAAGATATTCAGAATTCTATTTAAAACTTCCTTACTTTGCAGCAGTATTGTTTTACAGTATTTCAGGGATTGCTTGTTTGCTTTTCATCTCATTGTTTACCTGAAGGTGCAAAACCAGTAGAACACTTGGCACCTCTGGCTTCATATGTAAATATATTCATGTCTGTGTATTCAAAGATCTTATTTAAAATAATACTCTACAGATGTTTCTGTGAGGAGGTTTTAGTTCATTCTTTACACTAAAACAGTGCCACATCTGCTGTATATGACCTGTCCTTCATGGAGAGATGAAGCTACTGGATGGAATAGAACTGATGCACTAGTCTGTAGTTAGCTTCAGGTCTGAGTAAATAGTTTCATCCCTCTAAAACATCCCAAAACTAACTTTGAAAGAGTCCATTGCCAATGTCTTTAAACAGACTCAGAGATACAACATCCACAGGCACCTCACAGTAATTTTCCTAAAAGATTTATTTCCTTTATACTTGATTATAATACTAGCAATGGTATCATAGAGAATTTAATGTTCTTTTTACCTCTCATATCTTTAATATACACATTTAAATGTTCTCAGTGACACACTGATGAGTGCAACTGAAATAGAGATGATAAGAAAAAACCTCAAATCCAATCCACACCAAATTCTTGAACCCTTTAAGAACAATGATCTATATTTCCACAATAGTTTCACTTTGTTGTCTGTAAAACCAAAAGCAGATACTTGGCTTTACACATTGCCCAGTGCTAAACAAATCTTAGAGGACTATTCCCAGGACAATGTTTTTTTTGAATGACTTAGTGGTTGGCACTGAAGTTTGCCTGTCAGGTGGCAGCTCTGTCTCTCTATCACATTTCTCATAACTTCACCTTCCAGGAGGGGAGAAGTATTTTACAAAATGAGAAACAGGTAGAAATTGTGATTATTTTTTTTTCACTTCAATTTAACTTGGTGACTCAAAGACAACTGACACAAAACACGTAAGAACACAACTTCTGCTAACAAATATGCTGCCAGTAATGTCACCCAGGGAAATGAAGACAACATATTTTTTAGAAAATTACAGTCCTCTAATCATCCTGGAGAACTGATGACTCCTTTGGTGTTCAAACACATCCCGCAGCCAGTAGAACCTGCTGATGATTTACTGAGCAGATTCTCTGCTTTTCTTAAAGCCTATTTTTGAGCAGCTACCACAAGAGAATAAATGTCCAGTTCTGCAGCTCAGCAGAACATGTAATTGTTATTTAGAAATTGTTGTAACTTGTAGCTGTGGCCTAGAATATGAGATAAAGAAGTACTCAGCACAGTCATCTGTGAAAATATTCACAAAACTGTGTTTATACCATTCTTGCATATATTTTAATCCAAACATTTGCATGGCCAATGCAAAACAACCAGTAAAGTGGCACTATTCTTATTTGATCAACACTGCAGAACCACAAATTGCAGTATGTACTTCAGTAATTTCCCACTGTTTAGACTTTTTTTGTTAACACAGAACATTCTGTGACCAGCTGTATATTTGGCCAACACTTCTTTGTGCAGGGTTTATGTAAAGTACAACTCAGGTTAAGATTGCAGGTCAAGATTTTGGAGAACTATAGATTTACAGACTCTTTGAGGTTGGAAGGCACCTCTGGAGATCACTAAGTCAATCCCCACACCAGGCTGAAATCTTTATCTTTTAAAAAATGAGGGCAATTGATACAGAAACCAGGGATACAAAAATGGACCATCACAACATTTGAGAGATTCTTTTCCCACGTGTTTACAGCTTTTAGCTTTTTACCTACTTGAAATCATATAACCTATGGTGGTGATTTATGTTGAAGACTCAATTATATGGTCCAAAGAATTGTGATGCTCGTTGCCAAAGATCTCTCTTGTTCTTATGTATGTATTTACAAAGAGCTAAGGTGTGTGATATTTTTCATATTGATAAAAATGTGATTAAAACACAAGTGTACTTGTTATAACAAGTTTTGTTTATCCATAATGTACCAATCATGAGTGCAAATAAATGTTAATTTAAGTAAGTATTAACAGACAGGTCTTCACCAGCTAGCAGATGTAGCAATCTAATTCAGCAGTGCCAAATCTTGATTTAGGTTTTGCTCCACATGGACTGGAAAATTTATCCTGTGATGTCGGTTTTATTATTACAAAGAATTAGTCATTCAGCATGTAAACACACAAATTAGCAGAGCCAGAATCTATTTTTTACATTAAGACATGAAAGTGGACTATAAAGGAAAATCTTTGACCAATCCTGTGATTGAGTTAATAAAGTATTAAAACTGAAAAATATACAAACTGAGATTATAAGCAATAAAGATTGAGGAAAGAAAGAGCACATTAATGACAGTTCACAGCATTAAGACTCAAAACAAATTACATTTCCATGATTAACCACCAGCATTTGATACAATAATGAAAAGAAATGCCAGCAAACTGATTCATGTTATTGTACTGCAAACTGTTAACCGACTTTCAAAATAAAAGCAATTTCATCCTTTATAACAGTGGCAGGCTATTTCAGACAGATCAATTAAAATGTTTTGCCTCATCAGATCTGTGCCTGATTGTACAGAATCACTGCACTCAGAAGGGAGAAATCCCCAAAGGAACAACCTCACAACAAAAATGTTCAGCAATATTCATTCTAGCAGTAAATTATCAGTGGATTCAGTCTTAGAGACATCATCTTATGTTCTGTTCATCATAATCATATTCTAAGACCAAAACCAGATCTTAAAAGTGATTAATTAAAACTGACCCTGTAATTTCTATCTATAGGAAGCCTAATCAGACATAACCTTTATGGGATTTTTCATTTTCACACTGAATTGTGGTCATATAATTTTGTAGTCAGAAGAAATTCTTTAAGACCAGATAAATATTTTTATATTTTATAATTCATTGCTTCCTAACAGACAGATCTAATGCCCTAGAGACTTTTTATGCATATTAAGACCATAATTTTTCCCCCCAGACTGAGGTATCACTATTCCCTACAGCACAGTCCTATAACTAATATCTCAGTGTTTTGTAACTACTCTTTCACTGATAAAGATTCAATCAACTGTACATATATTTGTGCTGCAAAGGACAAATTAAATATACCAGTATTATTATATGTATTTACAGTGTCTCATAGTAAAGTACTATTAAACAAAATACTATTAAAACTAACAGAAGAATTGTAGGTATGGTACAAAGGTTACAACTGGTTAATGTAATATACACTTCAGAGTCCAACATGTTCAAGATCTCCTGTTGATGAAGCTCAAAATCCATTAAGGAAGGACAATACTGGAGAAGTTGGCAATATGAAGTGGAACTGAAATGCATTTTCTTTTGGATGTCTTTTCTAAATCACCAACAGTGCCAGGTCATGGCAGAAAATAAAGGACAAAGTTCAAATAATAGCCTAGAAATGATGATACTTTCAGACAATGATAGAAGGAGCACATCTTAGAAAAGTTCTTTGTATTAATTTAATATTGCTGCTCTAGCTGTAGAAGAAGAATCTGATCTCTCAGTAGAAAAATGCATTAAAAAGCCATTTTGTCTGCTGCTGTAGATGAGGTATATAGTTATTTTGCTCAACAGTTTAATTTTTCCAGAATCCCACTGGTATTTCCAGAGAGAATGCTGAAACATCTACTATATGAGAAAAAGTTCTAAGGAAATAATTCACAGGTACAAACAGAACCTCTTTGCCATATCACAGAATATTCTTGAATCTACTCTAGTGCATTGCTTCGTGCAACGTGTTGAGAATTATGAAACTGCCAAATGCAAAAAATTGTGATGTTTGTTGCCAAAGATCCCTCCTGTTCTTATGTATGTGTTTACAAAGAGCTGATATGTATAGTAAAACACTATTAAACCAAAATATTATGAAATTTAACACCACTTCCAAACCCAAATTTTCATTAATATTATTTCTTAAATAGTTCTAAATATCATTTACAAATACATAAAGAACGATATTTAAAGTAAAAAGGGAAGATTTTACCAGATTATATCCCTTGTGTGATTGTATATCGAAGGGTTTCTTTTGAGATTCTTAACAAATGACTGTGTTAAACCATATCTGGACATAGTCAACTTTAACATTAATGAAATCAGAACATGAGTCAGCAGATTGCAAAATTCAGCTAGAAAGAGTTCAACAGCTTGAATTTTTAATTTGGTCAGTGAGTACCTTAATAGTACTCTACCCTCAGCCCCCAAAATAAATTTAAAAACAATACAAAGCCCACACAAACAGAAGCAAAACAACACTAAAAAAAGACCAAATAAAAGAAAATGAAGACACCTAGTGTTTGAAGAGTGCAGGCAGATGCAGGTTTTGAAGTCACTTAGATATTTCTGAAAGCTTTACACTGGGATTTTTATTCAAAGTCACCATTTAAATAAAAAAAAATATTCCGCATGCCATATATTCCTTTAAAAAAAAGCACTTACAATTAGAACAGAAGACTTCTATTTAAAAAACCCTGCAGTTTTAAAGAGTTTGGAGATGTTTGCATTATATTTTAAATTATTTGTGATGAAAAAAGCTTAATATTTTCTTGAGTACTTGACAGATACTTACACAAAAAAGGGCATCAGCTGAATAAGTGTCTCTTTTTTGGGATTGGCTGTGAATTCTGGCACAGTTTGAATAATTTTGTTCATTACATTCCTTAGGTAATTTTGTAGCTGCTTGCGTCGCTCTTCTACAAACTTTGCATCCTAAAAATAGAGAGGAAAAAACATAAATGGCACAAAGAACATCTTTTTCAATTCTATAATGTAACTAAACAGTCCCAATAAGCATAAAAATTCATCTTTTGATGATGTCTCTTTATTATGTCTATATAAGTATGTTGGCAAGATGCAAAAAAGCCTCGACTCTGTCCTCAGAAATAAAGGAAAATCATGAATCCTAATAAAAACCTGTTTCACAAAAATGTCCACTGCCAGGATGCTGAATCCTCTCCTTGGCAGAACCTGTCTCCTGTGGACCATAAACCACTGCAACCTCAACGGGCAGTGCAGAGCAGCAGCACAGAGGCAGTGGCACAACAATTGATGCCATTTTTTGAGATCCAGAATTACCAGTCTCTGCAGGAGGAAATGCTGACTTACTCCCACAACTTCCTCACAACTCATACTTTTCAGTTGTTGGGTGCACAAACTCTAGAATGGATGAATAATTTTCCAGCACTTTTATTATTGTTAATAAATTAATATTTTGTGATGGAGTTCATTAGATTGCTTTTTTAAATATTACAATCATAACTCTCATTAAAATGTTTTACTGAAGTTTCTATAGCATTTTAGATGGCAGGATTTTATACTACCTTGGCCCAAATAAATAGAATAATTCTATGAACTCCACATTCTGCTGAGGGACTTAAAAGGCTAACAACCAAAATGTCATGCACCCTGTAACTCAAATCTAAACTTTTTCCCTGTGAGGGATCCCGACAGTGAGCTGGGATATAACGGTGACACATTTCACACTAACTTATAAAACTGTAACAGATTTACAGCGACATCAGGTGCTGGATGGTTTATGCTCTATCTCAGGAATGCAGGCTCTGATCACCTGGTTTAAATGTCACAGTATGTTCTTTAGGCACGAAATCAAACCTCTTATTAGACAATTACAGCTCCCAAAGGTGACTATTATCTAGAAGATGTGCCTATCCAACCTGTATGATTTATCTCAATAAGAAAAGACATTGAAACAAATTCTTGTTTCTTGAAAAAAAAAATAAATAAAAAAAGACAACCCACCAACAAAACACCATAAATACATTTGGCAACACTGAATAAATTCACTGTATGGAGAAGGCTCAGACCATGCTGCCATGCATGGGATGCAAATCTGGAGATTACTGTTTCCTTAGATAGAGCAGACTGACATCATCAAAGCAGGGATGCTCCTTGGAATTCAGGAGGACTGATGTAGAGTTCCTAGAACATTCACTGACATTTTGTTCTGCTCTTGTCTCTCATTAGAAGTTACCAGGAACAGGAATATTTTCAAGAATAAGAAATTAGACATAATAGTAGGGACATAATAGAATAAGATATAAGAAATCGATGAAGAAATACACACTCACAGGCTTCAAAATCTTAGGTAGTGCTTATGTTGTTTAAGTTCACAAAATTCAAAAATATTCCAATTTTACTTTGTTTTCTACCTATGAACTTACACAGATGTCCAGTCCTGTTTCAACATTCCAGTTTCACATTAATACGTTAAATAATCAGGATCTGAGTGAAAATAACCCCCCCCTATGTATTATGTGCCTTGTTAATTCTTTTTTATCAGTCACATTGTTTTTCAGCAACCTACACACGCCACACACAAACCGTGTGGCAAGTGATTTGATTCTAGTGTTAATTGATTTACTGATGAAATGAAGAAATGAAGTCTGAAAACACTTGGAAACTCCTGCTTTACTAAAAAACCAAAGCTGTGCTGTTGAAAGTTCGTGCAAAGCAACTCTGCAGAGTCCCTGGCCCCGTCCTCCCCCAGCGAGCACAGTGACTGCTCGAACAGAACTGAGCACCAGCTTGTTCTGTGCCCCTGCACAGAGGGAGTCTGGACAAATGTGTGCAACAGAAGCCCAGACAAGCTGTTGGGAACGTTCAAGCAAAAATTGTAATACATGGTGACACATAATATTATCATAAAATGGAATGGTAATAATAAATAAAAGTGCTGTTCAGTACTAATTAACATCTGTGTTACTATTTTCCTTCTTTTCACTAAGATTTCTGTTCCTACTGGATTCTTCAAGTAGGCTCAAGGAATGGCCTTGTATTCCCATCTTTTCTCTCAAAGGATTTAAATTGTCACACCATCCCATTGGTAGAGACTGATTTGCTACCACCAGCTGTGTGAGGCAGAGGACAAGAAAGGAGATGTCCAGGAAGAAGAAGTCTGTGGAACAGCTTTGGTTCTGAAAGCTTTAACCACTTGAGCAGTGGTGATGTTTGGCACATGAGCCCATTTCAGTTATGGAGGAATCCTCTCCCCAGGTCATATATACATTATAATGTCCTATATACAAATAATAATATTATATTATACAGTCCTAGGCTGTATAACAGAGGAAGAAGCACTGCTTTGCTCTACAAGCCAGTTCCCAGTGCAGACCCAGCCTCAGCTCTGAGCCATTCCAAAGAATGGCCTCACCTCCACTGCACTTCCTTTATTCTACTTTCATCTCTTCTGTCAATGACATTTTCAAGCCCACAAGAACATCTCCATTTTTTTAAGTACTACATTCATCAGCACTTTTTCAGTTCTTAAGTTTGTTTGGTCACAAGTCTTCAACGACAGTATTTTCAATGAAGTAATTTCAACTCTTTTAAAACTTGGTATTAAGAGAAGCTGCATTCCCTTAGTATGACTTCTGTACTGCACATGTATTTAAATAAAAACACCTTTCACAGGCAGGATCTCTTTGCTATAGACATGGGAACAAAATGCTGAAAGCAGATACTTTCTATTCCTTATGTTACTGCAAAGGATCTCCTTGACTATAGATAGTAATGCCACAAAGGAGTTTTCTAATTAAGTCTGCCCGAACATGCTTAGGAAATGCATTTTTTGCTGTTTACAGCTGATTAAATTAGTGCTTATAATATAGCTATTTTTCTGCCATTTATTCAAGAGAAAGGCAGAACACCTCAGAAATTAAACTCAGCCTGAAAACAGTTAAAAATGTTCTGTTAGCCTGACATAAATTTGATCTCTAAAACAAACACCAAGCAATATTCCATGAAATTCTGTACTATGTACTAAGGTCCGTTGTCCTTACCAGAAGTAATGTAAACCAAGGTCAAAATGATTCAGTTGTGGGTCTGCACTTTATCATTAAGTGTGCATTTTGCAACAGCAGGTTAGGTACTCAGAGAAATGATTCTACCAGGCAGTTGTTACTGCCAAGCTGTTGCAGTAATAAAGAGTCTTTGTCACAATATAGTAAACAGAACAACTGGTAACAGAAAAACACAATTGGCTCAAAGCCTGGCCAATTTTTTCAGTCTCAAATAATAAAAAGTTAACTGTTACCCTCTTTTCATTGGGCCCAATTATCTACAGCAGAAATCTAGTTAGTATTTTATATTCCAACTCGTAAACAAACTCCTATTTTTATTTACAAGCAAAAAGTAAAGTGAAATATTTTGGTTTGTATTTGTATCAGTGAAACCTGCTCCATATTTTCAGTCCATGTCTTTAATGACTGTATGAGGTTGTACCTGTCAATACAAGTCTACACTTGCATATCTACTCACATAGAAAACAGCAAAGCTCTTTCCCTAAGATTTAATTTACAGATTTAACATACACATTTATGTACACTTGATTTGAATGTACTTTGAAGACAAAGTAATTTTGTTAAATTATAAATACATTTAACTTTGCAAAAAACCTTACGTTTTCACATTATTAAATGTTAGACAATATAGTTTCATTTTTGGAAAAAAACCCACATATACAGAAAGATAAAGTAACACTATTTAGATAAACACAAACTTTTAAGATTTCACTGAAGAGAGATCCTGTTTACATGGTTAAAAAGAAGGCCTGCTCTCAAAAATACAAATGGGTATTATTGCAAATCCTGAAACTAAAAATGTATAGAAAAAATGGAGTGGGTAAGGTGAATAAACAGCAGGTCTGGTCTCTAACAAGAACTTCTCTGGAATCATCCAGCCAGTCATTTGACCAGTTGGTTCTGAAACAAAGAGAAGATCTTTTCCTTGCCTCATAAATGCCTCTTTGTATTTGCAAGTTATATTTGACGTTCCTATCTGACTAAGAATCTCTTTCCCTGTTAAAAGAAAGGGGACTATATAGAGAGGTACTCTGTTATAGCAAAATATGCCCAGATTCTGATATACATCTCTAGGGCATGTTGGCCACATTTACCACCAATTTATGCAGAGTAAACTTATACCGTACACAAATTGAGACTGAACATACCAGTATTCACCTTCAATTTTTAGGCATATTTTCTGAAAAATAAAACTATCACTGCTTCTGCACTCACTACTGTGAAAGTTATTTCCTAGCCCACAGTTGAAGAGTACACATTTTTGATTGAGAGTCCACAAAATTGCAGTTAACAAGCAAAACTGCTTCAGATTACAGAAGCAGTTACAGGACACATCTGGGAAAATACTTGTAATCTGAAATTCATGCTGTCCAAAATATTTTATGAAACTCTGTTTGACTGACAATACGCCAAGTTTCTCCTGCCCACAGCAAAATGCTAATATCAAATTACAAATCTCTAAAAATTGTAACATAGATAAAGGAAATCTTGTAGACTCTCAGATGTTAGAAGGCAATGTCAAGCTATAAAACTAAGAAGCAGAGTCTAGAGGTGCCATATTTTATGTTACGCTGGTTTGCAGTTTTTCATTGCAAGACAAGTTCATCCCAACTTGCAGTTTAAATTGTTTCACACAACTGTTGGTCTTTTATATACACTGTTAGTATGTAACAGATGGCAAAACACTGATATTCTTCATTATTAATGGGACAGCTCACTTAAGATGTTTCAAACATTTTCCAGGAGCTGTTGGAAGCGCTATAATTGCTATGGTTACCTGACATGAGTTAGGGACAGATAAAACACTTTTAGATTCTGGGTTTGGTGCTGTTGCAATCAACATAAAACACACTGCTTCTGATGGTCTAACCATAACTTCTCATTTAACCC